CATTAGCTCCTCCCTCTTTTGCAACATGCAATCACACTGAAATCTCCCACATCACTTCAACCCCATCAACAACATGGAGTTACTGTACCAACTCCCATTCTTCACTCCAGTCAATCAAGTGACGTACAACCCCATCTTTTATCCATGGCAACCAATCCCACAACATAATCTGATCCCTCTAGACATACACAACCAACAACACCCTCACAACTAGCAAGAACAAGAGGATCAAGAGATAGTATAAGAGATGGTAGAGGAAATAATAATTCCACGGGTCAAAGGATCGTTCACTGAAATTTCAAGTATCAAAGAAGCATCTCTCATGCTATTCTAGGAGATGGAGGACATGAAGTACATATTCAAGTGCCCAATAGCCCTTTACAAATGCTCCATCGACATCCGACCTCCAATCCTCGAAGCAACAGGGAACTTTGCAATAGTACTGAGCCCTTCTCTGAGGAAGTTCACTCAACTCTCATATGAGGGACTGGGGAAAACCAATCTCAACACCAACCAACTTCTAATGAATAGGAAAATGAGTCTTGTAGTCTAGAATATTAGAGGTGCTAACAATTATGACTTTAAAAGAAATTTTAGAGACTTAATATTCATAATCCCTGTATGGTTGCTCTTCTGGAGACTAAAATGGCTTATCATATTATACTCCACGATGAGTTCCACTTCACTGATTAGCTTGAGGTCCCGGCCATAGGTTTTGCTGGCGGGATCGTTATCCTTTGGTTCACAAATTTGGTTACTACCAACCTTATTAGCAAGTCACACCAAGAAATCCATGAAATGCTACAGTTATCTCCTCTCCAATCTTCATGTCTTATTAGTATTATCTACGCTAGTACTTCACTCAATCTTCATAATAACCTTTGGAATAATCTGTGCTCTATAGCAGACATTTACTATGGCCCTTGGCTAGTGGGTGGGGATTTTAATGAAATTCTTTCACAAAATGAAAAATGGGGTGGTAGACCCATTAACACTAACCGTTCCTCACGTTTCTGGTCTTGTGTGAATTATTGCAACTTAATTGACCTAGGCTTTAAAGGAGCAAAATATACTTGGACCAACTGTAGAGTTAACTCCAATGGTCTTATTCTGGAAAGACTAGATAGATGTCGTGCTAACTCTCTTTGGCTAGACCAATATCCTGATGCATCTATTACTCACATACCTAAAACACATTCAGACCATACTCCTCTACTAGTGAACTTTACCAAACCTACCCCTCTCCCTAGTAAGAAACTATGTAAGCTTAAAACCTTTTGGTGTTATCACCATGAATTTGATAATATTGTTAAGGATTATTGGCATGGGAAGCAACTGCTCGAAACCACTAACTGTTTCCAACATAAGGCTTTGGATTGGGCCAAATCTACCTTTGGTAACACTAATAGGAAAAAAATAGAATTCTTGCTAGATTCAATGGAATTCAATCTTCACCACGTTATCCTACTACCCACTTTCTACACTTGCTAGAAAATGACCTTATAAATGACTATAATAACCTCTTGAAAATTGAGGAGGACTACTGAAAAATTCGGTCTCGCATAAACTGGCTTAATGGCGGCGATGCAAATATAAAATTACCTAAGTGTAGTGAATCGTTGGAGAAAAAATAGTATATCCTTCTTCAATGAATTGATCGTAACTGGATCAATGTCCCAGCGGAAATCCTAAACCATACATTGGAATTTTACCAAAAGGCTTTCCAAACTGACCATATAGATACACCATGGAAAAATATTCTTAATTCACAAATTTGTTTTGGCAACATAGGCCTCTCAGATCTAGACCGTCCATTGAAAGATTTTGGAGTTGTCCGTGCAACTTTTTCCTTTAATCCTTTTAAGGCACCAGGCCTTGCGGAATTCACCATTTCTTTTACAAAAAATATTGGCATATGGTTAGGCATTCCGTTTTATCATTTTGCCACAACATTTTTAAAAATCTTTCAGTCTCAGAAACTCACAACTCTATCTATACCTGCCTCATTCCTAAATTCCATAATGCGAACAATCTCAATAATTTTCTCCCTAAAGGTCTTTGCAACACTATAAGGTTAATACTTAAGATTATCTTTAACAGGATTATCTTGATAGGCTGATTAGCCCCTATCAATCTAGTTTTCTTAAAGGCGGACGCATTAGTGATAATGCCATAATAATTTAAGAGATTATTAACCATTTCTAAAAAATTAAGGGTCGCCAGGGCAAAATCCTCTTAAAAATCGATCTTGAGAAGTCTTTCGACAGACTTGAATGGTCCTTTATATACCGAGCCATCTTTTGCTTTAAATTCCCTTCGCGAATCACCAAGCTTATCACGAGTTGTATCAGCACCTCTAGAATTGCTATTTTAGTTAATGGTCCAAAACAAGTTTTTTTATCCATTTAGGGGTATTCTGCAACCCAATGTCACCATATCTATTTATACTATGTATGGAACTACTCCAAATATATAAGTCACCAAGTTAATATTGGTCTTTGGGATCCAATAAAGCTTAATTCCATTGGTCCATCATTCTCTCATCTGTTCTATGCGGATGATTTAACTCTTTCAGTTTATGCCAATTTAAAATCAATCCATACCATAAAATGAAGCCTACAATTCTTCTCCTTAATTTCTGTGCGAAAAATCAATACCACCAAATCCAAAATTATCTTTTCCAAGAACTGCGACCCACAAACCAAAAGTCACCTCGCAAATATTACCGATATCAAAATTAGTGAGAGCTTTTGAAAATACTTGGGATTCCCTATCCTCACGCGCAAACCTAAGGATTCTGACTTACGTTTTATCATTGACAACATGAATTCTAAATTGACTAGTTGAAAAACAAACTTTTTTCTATTGCAGAGAGAACAACATTAGCTAGATCAACTCTTAACTCTATCTCAAATCACTCAATGCAATACATTCTACTTCCCTCCTCCATACTTAAACAAATCGACAAAATCCAAAGAGACTTCACTTGGGGTACTACCAATTTGAAAAAGAAAATCCACTACATCAAATGGGCCTCAATTACCCAAACCAAACAAGCTGGGGGCCCAGGTCTTAGGAATGCAACAGACAAAAACATGGCCTCACTTGGCAGCCATTCTTGGCGGCTCTTCACCAACCCAGACTCCAGTTGGGCCATAACACTTATTAGCCAATACAGCCATAAGAAAAATCCCACCTCTCACCCCTGCATTTGGAACAACATACTGACAAGTTGGAAAATCTATATTAAAGGTCTTGAATGGGTAATTGGTCCAAGAAATATTAGTTGTTCGCTTTCTGCTTGGATACCTAACCTCCCCCTATTTAATACTTTAATCCAAGGGCCGCTGAAAGAGTTAGACCTATTTCTCAAAGAGGATAGACCTATTTTATAATTGGTCCAAACTTTCTACTATTAAATCATTACTTTGAACACTGGCTCATTTTACTCAAGGACGCTAGCATTAATACTAATCATTTGGGTATCCCATGGGAAGAATCCTTTCCATTTGCTATTTGGCATCTTTGGCTTAATAGAAACAAAAATTCCTTTAACAATCTTTGTAGCCAACTTTCCCTAAATATTATAGTTATGCGTTGTAAGGAATAAAAATACTGCTCCAACTCTTGACGTTACACCCCTCCCACTTCATCCATCACAATCAAATGGCTTTCTCCCACAACAACTTCTTTCGAGCTTAACATTGATGGTGTCTTTAAGGATAAGTATAAAAAAAGAGGCATTGGCGGAGTCTTTCGAAATCACCATGAGGAGTTGCTGGCCCTTGGAACTGGACTACAATTAGCTTTGGATGTACCCTCCTGCTGCCTTTTTGAAGCTTCTCCATGAAGACAAAATCAGCTCGACTAGTTCTAGGCTCGTATGTACAAATTTTCTTAATAGTTTGGCTTAAGTTGGAAATCCTTTTGCTAATTGTAATCCTAGTATCAACAACCCTATGACTGTAACTACCAGTGATCCCAATGGGACCTTAGCTTTATGTAATCGTACTATCAAATGATAGTTTGTCGGAATTAAAGTACATAAGATAATAATGGCGCTTTCTTTGGTGAAAGAAGATATGAAATTTTCATATTTCTACCCCAAAAAAAAAGGAGCCAAAGAAATCTTTTTACCACAACGCATTTTTCTAAATATCTCTCCAATACTCTTTTAAGAATAAAAGACCGTAACTTATGGTACTCCTATGTGATTCAATTTTCTAATTATATAAGTAAAAATATTTAAAAACTAATTTTCACATTTACACCGAAAAGATATATCGACTTTTGCGTTCTGGAAATTGAAGTCGGAACAGTACTATTTACTTTCAATGTTGTCTCTTATGCCGTGATATTTCTTGAAGAAAAACTATAGAATAAATTTTCAACGTAATAATTAGGAACCTTTTTTTGACAAATCGAAAAAATCATTGGAGAGGGCGAAACGAATATTACATTACTAATAGGGTTTGAACCACCCACCTCAACTGTGGAAGGATACGTCTCATTACTCGTGAGTCTGATTTTTTTCATGAGCCAAGCACGTCAAAAAAAATTTTAAGTAATGATGGTGAAACTCTGACTCCAAAATCTCCTCTTGGTCGGATACCACATTGATCTCTGTCATCACTTGATCTAAAAATTTAATCTTTTATGTGAGACTATCACGCTTCAATATCGACAAGTCCAAGATAATCTTGTACACACACACACACAAAAAAGTAATAATAATAATAAAAAGATAAAAAATAATAATAAAAGAATTCCAATGCAAAGGATGTTGCGGAGTTTACATTATGTCTTCTACTGGTTGCTATAATATGTGGCAAGTCTATCAGCAACTTTATTTAAAGAACAAAATAACAATTTCTGCTATAAAGATAATTATGCCGCCACTTCTAACAACTAAATCAACTAAATGTTAAGCATACACAGTGTGAAGTCTATTCAAGAGGTGCCGGTAAATACTTGCCTTCACCTACGTTTACACCAAATCAAACAATTTAACTGCCGTAGTTATAAATTGAAGAGATACACATCTTGCATTCATTGTTTTGATATAAACACAACGTGCAGGTAAGTTTTTACCATTAATTGTCCTCCCACTAGAGATTATTAATACTATATTGCGTAGACTGTACAATATGCATGTCATTATTATGTCCCGAGAAATGAAGATTAGATAATGAAATTGTAGTTACACAGAAAAGCATCATCTGCTATTCTGACTAATATGGTTAGTCCACTACCAGATGTAGTTAGCAAGAAAATGATGAAGATGGGAATAATTTTCTTGTTTCTTTTCTTTCTGGTTCTCCATCAGTTTTCTGGGAAAGCAATGAATCAGTTAAAAATCATCAAAACATGGTTCAATATCTAAAAGAACATTACTTCAAATTGGTTTCTACCCCTTAAAGTTCTAAAATCCTTCAATGTTGGTCAGGGAGGAGTAAAGAGAAAAACTAGTCCTCGTCGTTGTTAATTGTGCTTACCATACCACCCTCATGCCACTTCAGAAATCCTTCCTCAAGGGCCTCTCTCATCCATTGGTGCCGGCAACATTCAACTGCCTCAGGAATTGTCAGCCAACTTCTTTTCCGGCGGTTCTGTTCTGGCCAACAGTCAAGCTCTTCCTTCACAAACAAAGCAAACATGGCAGCTCTACACAGACCTTCTGGACTGTACTCGTCTTGAAGTGTTTTGCTTTTAAAGAGGTAGTATCCCAAAAAATGCTGAAAAAGAAGAGGTATAAATCCCACGGATTCATGGAAAACAAAAATACAAGGCAATCACACAACTTCTACATATGCTCCAACCTACAAGTTTATTTATACATTCACGGTGTTCTTTAGCACAACCTGCTAAGGCATGACAACAAGAAAGATTGGAGAAATAATGGTGTTTTCTCCTATCGGTTGGCTACAAATGATATCATATGAAGAAGGATTTTCAAATTGGAGTCTACAACAATCAAGAGATGCTACTGCTTGGCTTACAAAAATTAGTCTGTTTTCTTTGTTCTTTTCTCGATGTCACGAGCAGCCAATTCATCATATATGGAAATTAACAAGCTTTACAATGAGATGAGTTCTTCCTCTACATTCATTAAAACAGAAGTAATCTTTGACTAAGAGGTACCGTCTTACTCAGGTTAAGCTCAAGTTATGCAGTATCCTTTCTTTTTTAAAATCTATGATCTGTATGGAGCAAAATATTTCGGGTACTAGCCCCTGCTGTATAAAGGGAAGGGGGCTAAGTTTCACTTCTATTTGGTAATATTTTGACTTCCGCTTGGTGCTTGGTTACTCGCTAATGAGTAACAATGCCATTTTTCCTTTATACATAACTTCAATTCTGTAACTTATTAACATTAAAAGTACGATTAGAGTATTAGCACCATGCTGCACAAAGCCTCTTTCTCATGGCTATTTCTTTCACATATCAGTTTCAAAACTAGATATCAAATGAATCATGATAAGAAGCTTGTATTAATATTTTAACCACACTAATATGTCCTGTAGTTGACCATAGACGACTAGCACATAGATTTGTCAATTGAAGTGTATCAAGAATTGTAACTACACAATTGTGCTTAAGTTTCTAGAAGAGAGATGGCTGCATAGCTCTTAAAAAGCTGGTTTCCTTGAAGCCAAATCATCATAGAATTTTGCATCACTAATATTTGAATCGCTTTGAATTCCCTCTCAATACAACAGTATTTAAAAGATACCCTATGTCAGTAATGTGAGCACGTAATTTTTGCCCAATATATAAAAACTACTCCTAGAAAATTTAAAAAATAGCTTTTAAATATTTTATAGAATTTAAGAAATTTTGCTATATTTGTTTTGCGCGTATTTATGTTTGATGCATTTTTTTAGTAGCATTTTAAATCCTAAGAAAAATACAAAAATAGTTTGATCTTTATATTTTTCTTCTTTTTTAATTGCATAATTAATTGCATTTGTAAAATGCCAAAATACCAAAAATATATCAGTAACTTTACATGCATTTGTTAGTTAAATAAATTAGTTAATTGTTAAAAATAGGTTATTAGGTTAAATTTGCAAATTAGTTGGAATTAGGAGTATTCAATAAAATGGTTATTTTTGAAAATTAAAAGAAAGGAAGGAAAGGGTCTGCAGAATTGGAACTCCAGCACAATACGAAATTCCAACACATTATGCTGGAATCTCATATGTAAAAATTCTAACTCCGGCATGCTAGAACTTTTCCGTATTTGTAAGGGTGTTTTTGTTCTTATTTTATCTTTACATGAAAAAGTGGCTAAATTTCGATTACTTTTGAAAGTGTGGCTATTTTTCACTTACCAGTTGTAAATCTGGCTGTTTTTTATTTTTCCCTCTAAACTGAGACAAGCACATTTCTTTAGTAAGTTACTATGATAAATTTAATATTACTATAATTGAACCAATTAATGAACTTTAGCTTCGACTCTTTTTTTTTTTTTTTTGATGACCGAGAAATCTGTCTGGGGCCGATCCTTTGGACCAACCGCAGCCTTCGAAACTCGGTGGATAATGGGCCCGCCCCTCTACTCTTTAAAATATTCTAAAACTTTAGCTTCGACTCTTTAAAATATTCTAAAATAAGTTCACCCTTCGTTAAATGTTATTACTGCATCACATTGATACCCCTATTACCGTTCCTTAAGCCGAGGGTCTATCGGAAACAGCCTCTCTGCCTTTATAGGGTAGGGGTAAGGCTGCGTACACACTACCCTCCCCAGACCCCACGTATAGGGATTAAGCTGGGTTTGTTGTTGTTGTTGTACATTGATACCCCTCTTGCAGCTCTATCATTTTTATTACAGATGACAGTAACTTTCTTTGGAAGGGAGAAATATATTGAAGTTTTATCACATCATGATGCTTAAAAGGAGCAGGTCAGAAGAAGTATCAGAAAAGTTCTTGTTTGTGTATCCAAATGCTACAGAATAAATGGAAGATAGGATACAACAATCTCACCACTAAATCCCCACGAACTCCAGCCTCCTCTATTGCTTCACGAACAGCTGCCTCTTTAACTGTTTCATCATTTTCCCACCCTCCCTATATATACAAAGACAGAAAATGTCAATTAACAGCACTCATAGACATCTTGACAGCTCTAAGGCAAAATAAACATGAACAGAAAGAACTTATTCCCCAATATCATAGTGCTGCTAAATAACTGAACAAGCAGAAGCCGGAACCAAAAAAACAAAAAAAGAATAATTAAAGAAAAGAACAAGAAGTCTATCAAGTCAAGTGTAATGTCTGAAAGAAAAAAAGGAGAACCAACTGTAAATGCCAATTCACTGGTTCATGTATGCGCTCATGCTTGTCTACCTTTGATTGAATAAATTACTAGTAGTGCTACCAGGTTGCAATGCAGCAACATATAACTAGCATAATTAGTCATGAAGAGAATGAAGCATGTGAAACATGGTTACTGTATTTTACAAGAACATTAAAGAGTGAAACTTGTCAATCGTCAACGTAAAACTTGGCAAACTTGGTATTTTTTTGGTTGTTAAACTTGGTAAGGTTCAGTTTCACGGTGGAGGAAGAATGTCAGCAAATCTCTTAGTTATGAGGTTGAAATACAAAGTGCTAAAAAAGGACCTTACTATCAGATCCATCAGAAGATAAAGTCACATAAGGTAGCTTAATGCTAGACCAAGAAAACACTTTAATCATTAGAGCTATCTTAGCATATTGCTCGAAATCCAACAGAACAATTCTCACCTTTGGAAACAGAAGACCAGGCCCGCTTGTTGAGTTTATCATCAGTACTTCGACTATCTTTTTGGATGTGTCACCACCATCTTGTTCCATATCCCTGTACTTAAACGGAATACACCTGCAGCAACTCTAGTAAGAATTCAGAATAGACAGGTTCCGAGAAAATATTATTCTGATTTCAAATGTAAACCCAGGAAGTTTAAAAGGGGTAGTTGCCCAGGTTTTCATAAGAAGCAAAATCTTTGACAAATGAAAGTCATCAAAAGAGGTACCAACTACCAGGGGACAGAAACCCATAATATAATAAAAAGAAATTGAAAGAAAACTTTAAGAGACATGCTTTGTATTTAATTGGAAGAGCTAAAATTTCAGATTTGAGCATACTTTAGGAGCCAAAAGATTAAGAGACTTTTGCTCCATAAAATCCATATACTTCTTCTATTCTAAGAGCATATTTTCCGATACTTTCTAGCCACGGAAGGATTTCTCTTGTGTTCCTGAACTTTTCTAGTTTGTGCTGTTGCTTCTCTATAACTTTTCTAAGCACACATCACGTACTCTATTGCATCACATACCCTTAGAAGAGTCCGAACAGCAAAATACTCGAAAATCAACTATCCTTAACAATATAGAACATGGAAGATCCAGTTGCTGCAAATTGCTCAGTGTTTTTCCTTCTCACATTTTTGAGCTGAGAATAATCTCATCGCATGACTGTCTCAGTGGAGCCATGGTACCAGTTTTGATCGTGATAGGGTCAATGGATTCTTTGTTCACTGCTGTCAATTAACTCAGCACCAAAGTTGCGGGCTCTTCGATTTTGGTGCCGTCCCCATCCCAATACGAGACGGGGACGGGAGCGGGATACGTCCCAAATTTGGTCAACTGACTTCAGACACTTTGTCCGGAGTCCATTGACAAATTTGGGAAAAAAATTGAGATTTTAATTTCTCAATATCAAAAATAAAACAGATTTAGGAGAATGAAAGAATAATATCCATCTTGGAGAATGAAAGATTGAATTCTACAATATTCATGTAAGTTTTTCACGGAATATCTCTCAAAATTTACAATATTTTTATAGCTCTATTTTTTATTAGCCGAATCCCCGCACCCGTATCCACATCCGGATCCGCACTACCGAATCTTAAAATTTAGATTTTGCCGAATCCGATACTCGGATCTGTCCCCTGTCAGATACCCGCACCCGAGTCCGAGCAACTTAGCTCAACACTTATGATGATGAAGATAGCGAGAGATTCAATACATGCTTTTTGTGCTTCATGTATGTTTTATGTAATGACTCCATCGCAAAAGAGATCTTAAGCAGAATAAGAACCAAAACTAGATTTAGAGCAAGTGTAATGAGAAGGATAAGGATAGCTTTCTTCTGATTGGATCAGCAAAAGAAATTACTATAAGAAGAAACAGCGGGAAACAAAAATTATTTCTCCCCTATAAGTCTATAACCCCAATTCTGATATATCTAAAGCTTATCCAATCACAGATAGACTCCAAAAGAAATTATAAATAATGTTGAATTGGAAAACCAAAAACTTAAAATTAACTCAGACCAGATAGGGCCACCCAATTCCTACATTCCAGATTTACAAGATTCATTGTTTTTCTTTTACCTCCTCAAATTTTACTTCTTTTTTTAATAAGTAGCTTAAAGAGAACAATGGCAGCCTATTCCAACATGTCTTGACAGTTCTTGGGTACTACTCTTCAGAAAAGACTTCAACTTCTTTTTTTCCAATGACGGTAGTGTACCCGTACACTACCGTACAACAACAACGACAAAGACCCAGTATAATCCCACAAGTCGGGTCAGGGGAGGGTAGACCTTCATTTTTTCTCGCGCCGAGGGTCTAGTGGAAACAACCTCTCTAGGGTAAGGTCTGTGTACTATCTACCCTCCCCACACCCCATTGGTGGGACAGTTTACGGCATGACTATTCAACCGGGTATCTGCTACCTCCACGAGCACACGTATCGCGTCTTGGGCAAATTCACCTAGTATTTTCTTTTTGCCCCGCTAGATTCCAACGTGAGACCTCATGGTTCTCCATCAACTTCATTGACCACTGGGCCATACCCTTAGGGTAAAAAAGAAACTTCAACTTTTTGAAGATACTAACTTTATTAGTCTATAGAAACTAAAAGATTGACTTTTTCTTCAAATCGAATTGCACAAACCCAATACCTCAAGCAAATTTCACAAAAGAAAAACTAATTTAAAGAACTACAGATGCACCGCTAGATTCGAACCAAAAATACCCACATTCAATAAATAGATTTACCAAAACCAAGAAGAACCAAATGAGCAAAAACCAAAATAAATCCAAACAAAATAGAGAATAATTAAATAAAGAAAAGGAAAAAGAAAGATACCCAGCAATGAGTCGATAACCTTCTTCATATCGCTGTTGATGCCGACCCGTTCGAGCTACCAATTCAGACATTTATATTCAAATATCTATTAATATATACAAAAAATTTGCTAAAGCTGGTAAATCCAATAATAGATAAAGCCCTTAATCATATTTATCCTTTCTGCATTATAAAAATTCAACCTTTTTTCTCTTCATAAACAGCAAAAAAGGTTGTTCCCATTTTCTTGGTTTTGTCAAAAAAATTGAGAAACAATGGTGAAAAGAGGGAGAAAAAGGGAAAAGGGTGTTAAAAGCAGCGCATCAATCGGAGCAACATGGGGTCTGACGTGGTCAGTCAGTCAATTTTCTAAATTTTAATTTATTATTATTACTGTATTCATTTTTTATTTTTTATTTTGTTTTCAGTTCGCTTATGAACTTTTTGTGGATACTTGAAAAAGATTATCCTTGTAAAAAAACAAGAAAAAAAGAAAAAAAAAAGAATATCTTAAGGAAATATCTCAAATAAGTCCTAGCTTACCGACCTATAGTCATAAATCATAAACTTACTAAAACTAGCTAAACACATGCAAAAATTAAAAATTCAAATAAATAAAGATTATTTTTCTCCAAGAATCACACGCAAAGATGTCCTTTCATATTTTTAAACGTGATCAGCAACATTAGATACAAGATGGAAAGAGAATTTTATGGATAAGGTAGCAAAAAAGATAAATATATATATATATATATATATATATATATATATATATATACACACACACACACACACACACACATACCCTTTTCAATGGGTATGGTTGAAATTTGTTGAAAACATAGAGATGAGTCAATATACATAACTTGAGGAAGATTGGAGTGTCATTTGGACTGATTTGGTAACAAAATGCGTAGTTAAAATCGAGTTCAAATTTTTTTTCGCGACACATGTATCTCACATACAAGTATACACAGATCATGTGATACACATTTGATACAAATATGATACATATGTGATACACAAATGATATACCTTTTTTTTTTTTTTGCATGTTCATCTTCTACTTTGAATTTTCAATTTAAACCACCTCAAAACTCTATCAAAGCATCCCAAAATTGAGATTTAAACTCTTTAAGATGTATCTAATTTATTCCAACAATATTCACTCTAAAGAAATCTAAAATTTGATATTTTTTTATTACAAATAGATAATTGGCTAATATAGATAATATTTTTGTGAATCGGCTAATTTTTGTACTAACTTACTTATAAACTGACATAATTGATAATTTCCCAAATAAAATTCTTGTAAAAAAATTCACGTTCTTTGATTTACAACCTAGTGGATTTTTGTCATAACATTCGAAACAAAGACTAGACACTATAGACATAGTATCTAGTGGTCTTTCCATATTAGGACATTTCAAAATATTTGACATAGTATAAATTATAAAGTATATACTTTCAAATTGTATAAAAATTTAAATATTTAAGTTATAATAACTTTTAGTCAAATGTTTTCTATCTTTTTAACCAAAAAACTAAATTATCTTATATCATCATTGATATATTATAGAACAAATTACACTCTTTGCCTGCCAGACCAACTGACCAACCGATTTCGGCCTATAATGTTGCATCTAATCCTGAATGGCCCAGGTTATATATAACTTAAAAGAGAGCTTTTGTATCTATATTCGATTTTTGGGTCACAATTGAACATATGCCCACTTTATAAAACAAATTACAAGTCTATCCACTTTACGATTAACTTCAAACTTATCGGGTCTGAAGTTAAAAAAAATTTAGTGTAAAGTGAAAAAATTGCATTTCAGATGCACTTAAAGCCAAATAGGTCTGAAGTGCAACTAATAGTTTCATGCACTTAAGGCCAATAATTCTGAAGTGAAAAATTGCACTTCAGATGCACTTAAGACCAAAAGGTCTGAAGTGCAATAAACATTTTCTTACGCTTAAGGCTAATAAGTCTGAAGTGAAAAATTGCACTTCAGATGCACTTAAGGCCAAATAGGTCTGAAGAGCAACCATTGGTTTAATGCACTTAAGGCCAATAAGTCTGAAATGAAAAATTGCATTTCAGATGCACTTAAGGCCAAAAAGTCTGAAGTGCAACAAACGTTTTCCTACACTTAAGGCTAATAAGTCTAAAGTGAAAAATTGCACTTCAAATGCACTTAATGCCAAAAGGTCTGAAGTGCAACCAACATTTTCATCCACCTAAGGCCAAGGCCTGAAGTGCAAATTCCCCAGAAACCGAAATTTGTTCTTCGAATTTTAACAATCCAATATACGATTTAATACATAGATCTACTCCAAATGAGCTCAAATTTGCAACATAACCTCTAAATATCATCAAGAACAAACCTCAATCATCAATTTGTCAAAACAATAATAAATCTAACGAACCCATTTTGCAATTAAGAAAAAGAAAAAGAAGAAACCCTAAGCAATAGTAAAATAAAGCGCCACAGCTGATCGCCACTATAAAATACCCTAAACTACCTTAAAATATGTTCACAAACACCATATAAAATCACTGTTACTCGATGAAGAAGAAGAAGAAGAAGAAAGAGGAGAAAAATGTCTTCCATGGAAAAAGTAATACCATATCGTAAAATCAGAACGTCGAGCTCGGGATCGAAGTTCCTTTCCAAGGTCATGGTCGATAATATTTACCGAGGTCAGAAGAAGGCATGCTTCGAGGTGATGCCGATATGAGTCAATAACGGAAAGAGCGAGATACCCGCAACAAGCCGGAGATCACGGCGTAAATTTCGGAATGGATTGGTCTTCAACGGCTAAACAGTTTTCAAATACGATTTCCAACTATAATTGGAAGTGCCTTATTTAGGACTCCCCTATTATATAAATAGGGATCCCATCCATTTGTAACACATTGATCACTGCTCATTGATAAGAAATTATACGCTTGCTATTCTCTTGCTATTCTATTCACTGTTCATCTGAGTTGTTTATTCATTTGTTCTTCCCATTATCATACCTCGAGGCTGTCACAGCTCGAGGTCGAGATTTAGCTTACACACTGGTTTGATCTACTTTATTCTTTAATTTATCTATTTAATTTTTTGTTTATCAATCGGTATTGAATCAAATCACATATCCTTAAAACTACAATACAACTTTAATTGTTACTCAAATTTTAGGGTAAACAGTTTGGCGCCCACCGTGGGGCTAAGGATAATAGTGATTGTTTCAGTGCTGATTCTGATAACACACATTATTTTCACACTTGTTCTTGTCAAGTATTTTTTTCTCTCAGGTTAAAGAATGTCAAACTCACAAAATGCACCCATACATGGTGATGGGGTTTTGGATCTCACGGAGAAAACGGCAATGTAATTGCTCCAAGAGCCGGGGTGCCACGGGCTAATCTTGGGGGAGTACCGGTCGTCGACCCAGTCGATATCAGTTTGCACATTGCATTATATGCGGATTTAGGCACGGACCCCAAAGAGAGTGTGCGCAGGGAAGGCCGATTGGTGGCCAAGGAACACAGGGCGTAGGAGACGGGGGAGTTAGTCTCCAGGTAATATTCGAGATACTGCAAGCTCAGCAGCCCGCTATTGCTCAGTTTCGAAGTTAACATAGAACTCCGAGTGTGGTCGAGCCGGAAATCACTCGTTGTACCGAGCCAGTGCCAAAAAAGGTCGAATGGTAACGGATCAGGGACTGATCCTACAGTTATGAAAATGCTCGAGGAGCTCACCAAAAGAATTGAGTCGGGGGAGAAGAAAATCGAAGATAATGATTAAAAAAAGTGGAAACATACAATTCCCAAGTTGATCAGATATTGGGGGCACCCCCAATCTTGAAGGGTTTGGATTCAAAAAAGTTCGTGCAAAAGCCTTTTCCTTAGAGCGCGGCTTCGAAGCCCATTCCTAAGAAGTTTCGTATGCTGGATATACCTAAATACAACAGGACCACCGATCCTAATGAACACATCACTTCTTACACATGTGGAATTAAAGGAAATGACTACGATGATGATGAGATTGAGTCCGTTTTTTCTGAAAAAATTTGGGAAAACTTTGTCAAAGGGAGCAATGATTTGGTATCACAACCTGCCACCAAGCTCCATCGACTCATTTGCCATGTTAGCAGATTCTTTCGTGAAGGCACATGCCGGGGCCATAAAGGTCGCAACAAGAAAATCGGATGTTTTTAAGATAAGACAAAGGGAAAACGAAATGCTAAGGGAGTTCGTATCCCGATTTCAAATGGAACGCATGGAGTTGCCACCGGTCACAGATGATTGGGCCATTCAAGCTTTAACCCAAGGGTTGAACGAGCGGAGTTCGATAGCATCACGACAGTTGAAACAAAATTTGGTCGAGTATCCAGCTGTAACTTCGCCAGATGTGCACAATCGATATCAATCAAAGATCAGGGTCGAGGACGACCAATTATGAGCCCCTTCCAGTTCAGTACATCCAAACATGTTAGCAGTTAAAACCCCGAGGGACATCGACAGGGAACCAAGGTCAAACAGGGAGATATCAACCATATACTCCGGATCAAAGGAATAATGGCTCGGGATGCAATCCCTCCCGGAATGATCGAAGAAACGATCTAGGACAAAATTCTCGGGGACTTATGAGTAAAAGCGGTTTTGATAAGCATGCCGATCCCCTAGAGGCACCTCGATTATCGAAATATAACTTTAGCGTCGATACATCGGGCATTGTATCAACAATCGGAAGGATCAAGGATACTAGATGGCCCAGGCCCATACAAACCGATCCTTCCCAAAGAAACCCAAATTTGATGTGCAAGTATTATGGCACGCATGGTTACAAGACCGAGGATTGCAGGCAATTAAGGGAAGAGGTAGCCCGTCTATTCAATGAGGGCCACCTTCGAGAGTTCCTTAGCGATCGAGCCAAGAACCATTTCAGAGATAAAAACGTCAACAGGAAAAATGAACAGGAGGAACCACAACATGTCATTCATATGATCGTCGGCGGGGTCGATATTCCACAAGGGCCCGTGTTCAAACGTACTAAGGTATCAATTACTAGGGAGAAGCGGACCCAAGATTATGTGCCCGAGGACTCCTTATAATTCAACGACGAAGAAGCAGAAGGCAATTCTCAACCACACAACGACGCTGTGGTAATTTCTATCTTATTAAATAAAGTTCAAGTTAAGGGTGTTTTAGTAGATCCACGTAGCTCAGCAAATATCATCCGATCGAGGGTCTTGGAGCAACTCGGCCTACAAGATCAAATAGTACCCGCAGCTCGGGTCTTAAA